AAGTAGTAGGATACAAAATTAATGCACAGAAATCTCTGGCATTCCTATACACCAGCAATGAAAGATCAGAAAGAGAAATTAAGGAAACGATCCCATTCACCATTGCAACTAAAAGAATAAAATACCTAGGAATAAACCTACCTAAGGAGGTAAAGGACCTCTACTCAGAAAACTATAAGACACTGATGAAAGTAATCAAAGATGATACAGACAGATGGAGAGATATACCATGTTCTTGGATTGGTAGAATCAATACTGTGAAAATGACTACACTACCCAAAGCAGTCTACAAATTCAATGCAATCCCTATCAAATTACCAATGGTATTTTTTATAAAACTAGAACAAAAACTCTTAAAATCTGTATGGAGAGACAAAAGACCCCGAATAGCCAAAGCAATCTTGAGGGGAAAAAAAACAGAACTGGAGGAATCAGACTCCCTGACTTCAGACTATACTAAAAGCTACAGTAATCAAGAAAATATGGTACTGGCAGAAAAACAGAAATATAGATCAATGGAACAGCATAGAAAGCCCAGAGATAAGCTCACACACCTATGGTCAACTAATCTATGACAAGAAAGCAAAGATATACAATGGAGAAAAGTGGTGCTGGGAAAACTGGACAGCTACATGTAAAAGAATGAAATTAGAACACTCCCTAACAGCATACACAAAAATAAACTCAAAGTGGATTAAAGACCTAAATGTAAGGCCAGACACTATCAAACTCTTAGAGGAAAACACAGGCAGAACACTCTATGACATAAATCACAGCAAGATCCTTTTTGACCAACCTCCTAGAGAAATGGAAATTCAAAAAAAATAAATAAACAAATGGGACCTAATGAAACTTAAAAGCTTTTGTACAGCAAAGGAAACCATAAATAAGAGGAAAAGACAACCCTCAGAATGGGAGAAAATATTTGCAACTGAAGCAACTGACAAGGGATTAATCTCCAAAATATACAAGCAGCTCATGCAGCTCAGTATCAAAAAAAACAAACAACCCAATCCAAAAATGGGCAGAAGACCTAAATAGACATTTCTCCAAAGATATACAGATTACCAACAAACACATGAAAGGATGCTCAACATCACTAATCATTAGAGAAATGCAAACCAAAACTACAGTAAGGTATCACCTCACACCAATCAAAATGGCCATCATCAAAAAATCTACAAACAATAAATGCTGGAGAGGGTGTGGAGAAAAGTGAACCCTCTACACTGTTGGTGGAAATATAAATTGATACAGCCACTATGGAGAACAGTATGGAGGTCCCTTAAAAAACTAAAAATAGAACTACCATATGACTCAGCAATCCCACTACTGGGCATATACCCTGAGAAAACCATAATTCAAAAAGACACATGCATCCCAATGTTCATTGCAGCACTGTTTACAATAGCCAGGTCATGGAAGCAACCTAAATGCCCATCAACAGACGAATGGATAAAGAAGACGTGATACATATATACAATGGAATATTACTCAGCCATAAAAGGAATGAAGTTGGGTCGTTTGTAGAGACGTAGATGGGCCTAGAGACTGCCATACAGAGTGAAGTATGTCAGAAAGAGAAAAACCAATACCGTACATTAATGCATATATGTTGAATCTATAATAATGGTACAGATGAACCAGTTTTCAAGGCAGAAATAGAGACACAGACGTAGAGAACAAATGTATGGACACCAAGGGGGGAAAGTGGCGGGGGGGGGTCGGGTGAGATGAACTGGGAGATTGGGATTGACATGTACACACTAATATGTATAAAATAGATAACTAATAAGAACCTGCTGTATAAAAAAATAAAATTAAATAAATAAATAAAATAAAAGACAAAAAAATTAAACAGCTTAAACAACTAAAAAAATCAGATAAAATAGGAGAATCAACAGTTTTCAGAAACTGGACAACTGGTATTGTAGGATAGTCATGTCTGAGAGAAGTGAAACAAACAAGATAAGCCCTACAAGTGACCCATCTTAATACCTGGGGAGCACATACTGGCCACAGCATAGGGGCTGGGCACCCAGACAGAGCTGAGCAGTCTCCCTGAGTTGAATAGATAGAGAGTTTGGGATTCAGAGAGCCCAAGGTGGAGAGAAATGGTGTATTCTGGATACAGACAGAGTACTGGGGAGGGGAGAGCTTCACTCAAAAAGCTCTGGACAGTGGCAGAGAGTGACCCTGGAGTCTTTGGCTAGCTACTGATTAGCACATACATGTGAGAAAACTATAAAGGCCACAGAAAGAAAGGGAGCATTTAAAATAATCTTCCAGGAAAATACAGTGTGAAAAAGAGTTACTACTTTCACCAGCCAGAATAGAAAGAACTCCTAACACACACGGCATTAAATAGAGTCCTTAGAGAATATTTTCCCAGGAGTAGGGCCAAATTAACCCTAGACTAAAGGCTGCTCTAGGTTTCCCTTAACAAAACTGTCAACAAATAACTGTGTCCTAAAAGGAAGTCTCAAATTATTGAAAGGGATAAAAAAAATCCAGCAGCTAACAATATAAAATTCACAAAATCTACTAATCAAAAATTACTAGGCATGCAAAGAAACAGAAAAATATGACTCATAATGAGGAGGTATATCAATCAATATAAACAGACCCAGAAATGACAAATGATAGACTTAGTAAAAATCAAGGAGGCTAATCAACTATAATAAATGGACTCCTTATGTTTAAAAAAGTAGAGAAAATTTAAGTATGATCAGGATGGTGTGGAAAATATGAAAAGATACAAATGAAACTTACAGAAATAAAAATAGCAATATCTGAGTTGAAAAATACCCCAGACGGGATTAACAGCAGATTAGATATGGCAGAAGTAGAGGATATAAAATAGAGCCATAAAACTACACAACATGAAATAAAAGAGAAAAGATTCCATGGGGGAAAGGAACAGGGAACTTTCCTTGAACACGGAACTGTGATATAATATTAAGTGAACTAACATATGTATAATTGGAATCTCAGAAGCGGGAGGCAGTAAAAATATTTGAAGAAATAATGGCAGACTTTGATGAAAACTATAAACCCACAGATCCAAGCAACTGAGTGACTTCAAGTAAAAGAAACATAAAGAAAGCCACATCAAGGCAAATGATAATTAAATCTCTGAAAATTAATACCAAAGAGAAAATCACAGAAGCATAAAATTATATTGGGAGGAAGAAAATTAAAAATAACAGACTTCTCATCGGAAATAATACAATCCAGAAAACAGTGTACTTATATCTATAAAATATTGGGAAAAAACTGTCAACCTGGAACTCCATAATCAGTGTAACTATCTTTCAATATAAAAGTGAAATAAAGACTTGAAGGAAAAGAGAAAAAAATAAATATATCATCTGTCATGAGTCAATAGGTTAGAACATGAGACAAAGAATAGTCTGATGAAAGTGGGGGAAAGGATCCTCACTTATATAAGTTGTCCAGGAAAAGACCCCCCCCCCGCCCCCGCCCAAAGAGGTGACATTTGAACAGAATCCTGAGGGAGGCAGTCATGAAAATGTCTTTGTGACAGAGAAAAGCAAGTGCAAAGGTCCTGGGGCAGAATTGTGCTTGCTGTGTTCAAGGAACAGCAAGGAGGCCAGTATGGTTTCATATCAGAGTGAATGGGAAGAGAAATAACAAAAGGTGAAGGTGCAAAACAGGTTGTACAAAGCGAAACCATTTAAGAAGCAGTTGCAGTTGTCCAGGAGAGAGATGATGGGCTTGGAGCAGACTGGTAGGTGTCATAGGTAGAATAACACCCAAATGTATCACATCCTAATCCCAGGAACCTGTGAATATGTCACCTTACATGGCAAAGTTATCTTTCCAGATGTTATTAAGTTAAAGACCTTGAGGTGGAAGATTATCCTGGATTAACTGGATGGGTCAATCTGATCATATAGATCCTTAAAAACAGAGATCCTTTCCCAGCTCTGGGCAGAGGGAGAAGGGAACATGAAAGCATGGCCAGAGAGATGCAACATTGCCGGCTTTGAAGATGCAAGAAGGGGTTATGAGCCAAAGAATAAGCACTAGAAGCTGGAAAGGGCAAAGAAAAGGATTCTCCCCTAGAGCTTAAGAAAGCTTAAAGAACAGCCCAGCAAACACCATGATTTTAGCCCACTGAGACTCATGTCAGACTTCTGACCTACAAACCTGTGAGAGAATAAATGTGTGCTCTCTTAAACCACTGAGTCTGTGGTAATTTGTTACAGCAGCAATAAATAATGAACACAGTAGGGATGAAAGTAGAAATGTCACTATGGCTGCAGTAGAGAGAACTGGCCAGGGAACAGAGAGGGCAAAACTGAAGGCAGGGGAGGCAGTTACGATCAACTCTTTGTTTTGTGTCCAGGTTTCAGCTCTTGCATTTAGCCCTTAGTTAAAAAGAGGTATATTAATGTGCCTCTACTAATGCCCAACATAAAAAGAGAAATGTTCACCATCCTTATCCATTTAGAAGAACAAAATATGCTTATCAAAACAAAAATTTAGTATATATATACAATGGAATATTACTCAGCCATAAGAAAGAATGAAATAATGCCATTTGCAGCAACGTGGATGGACCTAGAAAATATTATGCTTAGTGAAATGTAAGACAAATACTGGATATTATCACTTATATGTGGAATCTAAAGAGTAATACAAATGACTATATATGCAAAACAGAAACAGAATTACAGATATAGAAAAAAAACTTGTGTTTACCAAAGGGGAGAAGGAAGGGGGAGGGGCAAATTAGGGGTATGGGATAAACAGATACAAACTACTATATATAAAATAGATAAACAACAAGGGTATACTATATAGTACAGAGAATTATAGCCATTATTTTGTAATAACCTATAATGGAGTATAATCTGCCGAACACTGAATCACTATGCTACATACTTGAAACTAACATAATATCGTAAATCAACTATAGTTCAATTACACAAATAAATAAAGTATTCATATTTTTTAAAAAGCATGGAATGGAAGGCTGAGCAGTGTAGTGAAATTCCAGCTAGAAAAGGGGTCATACAGGCTGATTAAAGAGAAAGTGATTATAGGAAGAATCACTATAGTTAATATCACATCAAAATCATCTTTAATAACACCAAATAAAAGTCGCTAGAGATGATTTCCGCAAAGGCAGAAATTGCAAATCACTTCCCAATGAAGTATCCTCAGTGTTTCCTGCTGAGCCCTCTTCTATGGGTGGTGTGGGGCGAGGCATGTGAAGTAGACATGTATCCCCAGAGCAGGGCTGTCAGCTCCAGAAACCCTTCTGCTCAACTGGGAGGATTGTCAAGACTACCCCTCAAGTCCCAGCCTCCTACACTCATGTTTCCAGAGCCCTGAAGTCACTCTTAATAATTGGAGTGAGATCAGTCAATATCCTCCATGCCCACGTGGATGAAAGTCATGGCACAAGTCACTGAGCCCGACGTGTCTCTACAGATTTGCAGCATCTGGCCCACATCTGGGCGGCTCAGGAGAGCGTCGCTGATTGCCAGAATGCTCTTCTTCTCCGAGCCGCCTTCTCCAGTCCATAAACTTCCAGTGTCTCCAGCTCTTGCTTCTCTTTGTGGAAACAGATTTCTTTTTCTGTGGCAGCAAGATGCTGAGGAGATTCAGAAAAAAATTCCTTTTCATTTTCAATTAGGACATCACCAACACAGCAGAGGACATGGACTTAATGCCACCAACAATCCATCAGTGCCTCTTCTTAGACAAAGCAGGGTCACCGAGAACAATACCTGCTACCAATTTTTGAGCACTTACTGTGCTCCAAGCACTGCGTATGTATAGGATTTAATCCTAACAGCACTACCTTGAAGCAGGTACTATCATCTCCTCTTTAAAGATGAAGAAATTAAGACCGGAAGAACGATAATTTGCCAAAGTTCTCGCGGCTTATATATACCAGAGTGAGGATTCGAACCCATGTCTCCCTGACTCCACTAGGCTGAAGCCTTCTGGTAGATAATGAAGAAAACTCCTGGACCCCTTGACACCTCTCTCACACACATTCAAACACTGAAATGTAAGGTTAAACCATGTATAGTCTGTAATGGAACTCAGGTGCCTTAAACAACAACTACAGCCTCCAGTGGTCTCATCCAGAAAAGTATTCAGCATATATTTGCTACCTGAAGCTGGGGGTTACAATGAGAGCCAGATTATCTCGAAACAAAGGACTGAGATTTGACTGGAGACGTTCATTTGTAACTGCACTGGCACATTTGCACTTCCGTAAAGCTGACGGCTTCCTCTCATTTATCCACACCTGATGGGAGCCCAACCTTTTGGTCTGTGCAACCGATGAGTCTTCCCATTTGAGTCACTTTTAGTGCTGGAAATCCTTCCAGGTCACTATCAGGAATCTCAACCCTAATCCTACTGGCAGTACAGAACGGCAGATAAGAATGAATGATTTGGTGGAGAACAGACTTGGGTTCAAATCCCAGCTGGGCCACTGATTAGACATACCCCTGTGGGTAAGTCACAGCTGTCCACACCTCAGTTTTCCCATTTGTGAAACGAGGATAGCAAAACTTCACAGGGTTGTAACAAGATCAATGAGGTAATGTGCGTAAATCTCTTCGCACGGTGGCACATAGTAAGCGGTCAACAAATGCTACTATTAGTGCTATTACCACATAGCTCAGGACACAAGTGGCAATTAAAGCCAAGGACAAACAACACAGACCAGGGCAATGAGCCCTTCACCCCCTGTGAACCTCCAGAGAGATCTTAGCAGAAACTGAGCTGAAGCTGGGCAGCACAGAGAGGAAAGCTCACCGTCAGCACATCTGAAATGTTTCCAGACATTCCCCAGGTGGTGTACCCCAACTAGCCATGGCCTGTCACACTGGGCTCTTCTCCTGTCCTGTCCCCCGACTCCGTTTCAGTGGTCCCTCCAGGGGGAGCAGACAGAGATGATCCATGAAGATGATTCACTGGGCTGAAAAAAGAAAATATTATGACTTTCATTTATATTTTTATGTTTTTTTAAACTTATATTTGATACTATGAATAAAATAGACAACTGAGGGGAACGTACTGTAGAGCACAGGGAACTCTACTTAATGCACTGTGGTGACCTAAATAGGAAGGAAGTCCAAAAGGGAGGGGACTGTGCTGTAGAAACTGTGCAGTAGAAACTAATGCAACACCGTAAAGCAACTATACTTCAGTAAAAATTAATTTTAAAAAATAGTTATAGGGCTTCCCTGGTGGCGCAGTGGTTGGGCGTCTGCCTGCCGATGCAGGGGACGCAGGTTCGGGAGGATCCCACATGCCGCGGAGCGGCTGGGCCCGTGAGCCATGGCCGCTGGGCCTGCGCGTCCAGAGCCTGTGCTCCACAACAGAAGAGGCCACAACAGTGAGAGGCCTGCGTACCGCCAAAAAAAAAAAAAAGTTATATTCATATTTGTACTGAATCCAAAGATACACATATAAATATATTTGGGATACATGCTCATTGTTTTTAACTAATAGGGAGTGAAATCTGAAAAACAAAATGTGAAGATGAGTGTTCTATCCAGTTCTTAAAGAGATACAAGGTTATAAGGTCAAGTACCGGGCAGGCATCATTCAGTCCACAAGGGTCAGGTGGGTAAGCACCACCTCAGGGCTATCAGCTGATCAGTCACTGGTCCTTCCTGATGTGTTACCTTTAGAAGTCAACACAGAGCCCACACCCAAATTATCGAGGCAGCTTGCGTAGGGCTCTGGACTGGGAGTCAGAATATTTGGATTTAAAACCTGGCTCCGCTCTTTACTCGTGTGACATCACTGGGTAAGTCACTTAACTCTGAGAATCAGTTTCCTCCTCTCTTTCTAGATGAATAATACATACTTCAAAGGGTTGTTGTGACCTCTAAGTGAGGTGATGTCTATCGAAGGGCTTCAATGACAGTTGAGTCTAACTCATTCATCTCTTGGCAGCTGAGCTGAATAGTGATGACTGATGGGTTAACACCAGTTGATTGTCTGCTCTGTGGAAAAGAAGGAGAACTGTTCTGTGTCGTGCTAGATGAGAAGATCAATACAGGGAAGAATTTTTGGAACAGAACTAAAAATCTGCACTGTCTTGCCAAATATTGGATTCCCCATCACAGACATACATGTTCAAGCTGAGGCCCTATGTCTAGAGATTTTGTAAAGCAGACTCATTTTGAGTGAGAAGTTTGGTGTAGACAACTTTTACTAAAGTTTTATTACTCTAAGCCAAATAAAATGAGAATTCCTTAAAGAGTAACATGATTGCTAGCAATATTAGGCCCTCTGACAGGTCAAGGGGAAAATGATGGGCATTTGGGCTCAGGGGTAGCTTTTGATATACTTGAAACCATACATCTCCTAATTCATCCACACTAGACCTACCTCCCAACAGTCCTTCAAATCCCTGTCATATGAAATAAGTTGTTCAACAATTCACTTAGCCTGGTGTCCAAAACCATTTGATTTATCCCTACTTACAGACATGTTGTTCTGCAAAGATACTCAAGAGGAATAAATCACATCAGTGTCAAAACTTTAAACAACTCATTCACAAATATTTTATCTCCAGCCCAGACCTTGTCTTTGAGGAACAGACCCGTATGGTCAACCTATACCTTACCATCTAACTTCAATACTTCCTAAAATAAACTCATCATGTTGCCTTTACCCCCACCTTCTAGCTTTTCTTGTCTTGATGAATGATACCACCATCCATCCATTTGTCCCACTCAGAAGCCTAGGGTCATCCTTGCCCCCGCTTACTCCCTCCCTCCCCATATCTTATCATTTTTACATTCTAAATACCTCTTGAATGCATCTACTCCTTTCCCTTCTCTTCCACCACTCACTACTTTAGACCAAGCTTCTGTTACCTGTTGCCTGGACTACTGCAGTAGCCCCCTGTGGTCTTCCTCATCCAGTCTTACCCTCCTCCCGTTGCTCACTACTTGGGCTTCCCAATACTCCTAAAACAAAGCTCAAAATGAGCCACAGTGTGCTGTGTCGTCTGGCTCTGACTCGGAGCTCAGCCCATCTCCTTGCTGCTCTCCCTCCCTCTTCACTTCAGCCACGTTGACCCTCTTTCTGGTTCTCATAGTCTCATGTTGCCATCCATCGCAGGGTCTTTTCTCAACCTTCCCTCTGCCAGGAAGACCCTTCCTTTATATGCCTCCTTAGGTCCTACTCATCCTTCTTAAGGGTTGCTTAAGAAGCATCATCATTTCTTCAAGGAAGCCTTCTGTTACCTCTTGGACCATCTCAAATGTCCTATTTTAGGCTCTTAGGGCAATAATTAGCACGTGTCACAGAAGAAGATGTATATTAGTGTGTGATTATTCTTATTTCTGTACATTTCCCGCAGTAAACTATAAAATACATGAGGACAAGAACAGTGATATTTTTGCTCACCACTGGATCCTAGAATGTTGTACAGTGCCTGGGATATAACAGATCCTCAATAAATATCTGGTTAATAACTAAACAAATCAATAATGATGAATGAAACTAAGAATAAATGTTCTATGTGCTTGTGCAAGTCTCTTCATCTCCCCTCTCCTGATTTTAACTCTATGAAATTGGGAGGCAGGAGAAGCAGGTAAGAAATAAACGGGAGAGGGAATTACACAGCACCTAGAATCACCAACGACTCAAATTCTTTTGTTCCAAAATGTGAAATTTCAAAAATTCTAATGGAATCAAAGATCCAAAAAGAAAGTTGTGCTCCTGCCGAGCTCACAAATACATGCTTTTTTTTCCCCCATAAATAGAACAAACAGATGCTATCTGCAAGGCTCACAGCACATCTGTGCAGATAAAGCAGCAGCGCTGGGGTGTCCTGGGAAAGAACTGATTTGCATGTTTGCTCTCTGGCGTGCAAACGCTCACACATTCCTTCCAGAGAGCTCTGAAATGGCCACTTTCAGAGAATCTAGGTTGTGGTTTTGCATGTATTCTTCAAGTTCACCTTCAGTCCCTGTATTTGAGAAATATTCATGTTTAAAAAAAAAAGTTTTAAAGAAAGCTTTGCTGGCTGGAGGGCTTCTTTCCTCCCTGCCACCCTCCCTTTCTCAAGCTCTCACATTTGAGTGTTGTCAAGTTGTCATGCTTTAACTAATCAAAACAAAGGTAATATGAGAAACGACTAAAAGTTTTATGCCAAGTATGAAAACTGCCTGAAGAAGATGGTGGCAGCAGCCAGTCAAAAGACTCAACTTTCTTTCTGAGAAAATAGGACTTTGATTTACTTACAGTATTTTCTCCTAAGGGTCTCAAAATCTTTTTCTTTCTTTTTAAATATTTAAGAGGTTACCTGGTAAGGAGTTTTCTTAAGCAAGGTGGACAAACTGAGGCCTGTGATGTCCTTTTTTAAAACAGGCAGTAGCTGAAATAAATTGAAAGTGATTTCTTAATTCCCACAAGAGACAATGCTAAAAAAAAAAGAGGTGGGAATGGGAATTCTTTGCTCTGGGAGCCCAGGCCGCAGAGAAGCTTAATCTAATTTGCATAGGAGGCCGGGAGTTCCTGGAATTGCACTCCCATGTGGCCCTTACAATCCCACCCCTATTTCCACCACTGACCATGTGCTGCTTTTTTTATGGTAACTGGACATTAAACTTCATAAAAGCAGTAAAGTTCAGCTAATCACTTAGAAAACCAGGCAAATGAATACACTACTCTAAAATGGTGACGTCTTCAAGAACCTTTGGTAGTTACTGAAACAAACAAGGGAATACTGTATCTACTGACAGTTAAGCCAAAAAAGAAAAAAAGTTCATGTTTCCTACTCAATATATTTTTCTTCGTTCAGACTTCAGACAACTTCGCCCTACCACACCCAGCTACTTGTGACTGGTTCCAAAGGGTGACACCAGCTGATGAAAGACGACCTTCTTACAACTCTTTCCCGCCAAAGACTCATGGTGAGATGGCCCTTCTCCAGCAGACTATACACTTCATCATCTGTGTCCGTCCTTCTGTCCCCAGAGAGACAAGCTCCAAGGGGAAATCACCCTTCCGAGGCAGCTCTGGATCATACCTTGGGAAGTGAAACCAGGGATGTGCAGATCAGCTCGGACTGCTGGCCACCCCCTCAGAAGCTGAGTCACTGACCTGGCCGGTTCATTTAATCACTTGGAAAGTGGTTAGACTGAACAGGACATGTAGTGATTAGTAATTCAGACTGGTCTCAGAGCTTCATGTCTTTCACTTTTAGACGCCAACTGCAGCCTTTCTCTTGGAGTCAACAGGAAGCGAGAATTGCAAGCCAAATTTGACACCACTTGACGTAACCAGGGATGGACTTGGGCCCTTATTTCTCCACCCAATAACACAGAGATTTTGAAAGTGAGTCCTTCTAGTTAAACACATCAACCGAGTACCAGGGGCAGAATAAGGAATTAAGAATTGAAGAAAACCTATTTTGATAACTCAGACTTAACCCCTTCTTCTTATCTGGCTTTCATTGAATAAAAAAGTAAATTAAAAAAAAATTTCTGTCTCAGATATAGATCTGAAGATGGTAAGAATAAAAAGAAACAATATTTATTAAATAAGCTACTCCCCACACTAATTAGAAAATGATTGTGATTGAGGCAAACACAAGATCTACTTTCCCGATTAATTTTTCTCATCATGATGCATTTGTGAAATATCCTAAACTGGGCACAGTAAGACATGGCCACGTAGTCGAAAGCGAAACAGATAGACTTTTTATAAAACATTTCCTATTTCTGGTTACAGTTACTGTTGTGATGATTGATTCATGTTCAGCCATTTCCAACTACAGTTGTGGTACTAGCAATGAGATTTAAAATTTGATCATTTTACATGGACTGTTTGGTGAAGGAAAGTAATATGTGTATGTCTTTGCACTCACTCCTGTTCTTTCTCTATTTTCTGTCTTTCCTCTCCAATCCATCCCATACCTAGTCCCCAGATTACTTTTCCTAAAATATCACTGCTGTGCATTTATTCACTTGAAATTGGTTGAAACCTGACCACACGTCAGTGGTCACTTAGCTAAAAACTGACAAGAAAAGGTAAACATGATGGTTTTACCCTTGAAATGTTCATAGTCAGTGATAATTCTCTAGTCAAAAGTCTTAGTTCTTTCCAGGACTGTGAGATCCAGTTCAAACTTTAACCTGATAGTTCTGAACTCCTAAGTTTAGGCCTTCCCAGAATTATCTTCTCCCAAAGTGCCCACACTCAAGCCCATACCCCTGCCTCTCCACCACATAATCTAAAATGCCCCTTCCTTTACATATCCAAATTCCCTCAGAACCTAACTCACTTACCTGTCACAAGACCGTGCCTGATCATTCAGCCTTTTCCCTTTTCCTAAATTCCAAAAGCCCAGATTATCTTTATCAATTTTCAGCTTAACACTATCCCACATACCCTGTCCTGACCAAAATTCAACTGTAAATACATACATACATTTGAACCTACATATATACATACCTGTATATTAAAGAAAAGAGAGCTGGACTTGGGACATTCATTCTGTAATGAAAACTGGGGCAAATGCTCCACTGGCATAATGAGGTTGGGATTATCATTTTACAAAAACAGGCAGGGGGAGGGGTTCCAAGCTATGTTATTAGGAGGAATATAAATTTCTCATGTAACTCAGATAGGATGCTCTTTAGAAGAAAATTAATTATTATTACAGGAAGCTTTGTGTATTTCAGACTCTTTAGGAGAAAACAGTAGCTCCCTGATACAGAAGCCTTTGCTCTTTCCCCATTTCCCTCTGCCAGGCTTCAGAGTTTCTCCTTCCTGCTCCCCTCCCCCCAGCTCACCCCAAGGAGACACCAAACATTAGCACCTACCCTTTCTTAGAGTCAACAAAGATTGAGTGGAAGGAACAGTCCAGTGCACCTTCCTTTTCTGTAGGGATGATGGGGTATCTATCCTAAGAAAAGAGGACATCAAAATGTGGACGAATAATAGAAGAGGTCTTCTTGGAGCAAAGGAAGGGGAGAGAAGGAGCTTGGGGCATGTCCATGTGGAAAACCCTTGGAATCTAGGCAATATGGTCCCATCTCTTCATGTGGGACAAAGGATTAAGTTGGTTCACCCAGTTCCTGATTCTCCCCTCTCCGCCTCATGATGTATGACTCTGAGGCAGTTAGTTACCTAAACTCTTCAGGAGGAAAAAAAAAGAAAGAAAGAAAGCTCAGTAATCACAAATGTGGAACGAACCATCAGGGGTTATCCCAGTACTTCACTGCATATTATAAACTATTGGGAAAGACATTCCTGAGGATGACTAGGAATCTAGGAAATCATAAAGCTGAATACCACCCTGCTCCCCAGCCCCACTCCCAGCTTCCACCATCCCCAGCAGATATCCTGAGGGCCCAAGTTTACCCAGCACTGAAGGAGCAAAGACCCCCTTTGATTGGGGGAAAACTAGGACATTAAGAAGAAGACTTCCTTTGACTGCCTTCTTTCTGTGTCTCTCCACTTGACCACGGATGTTTCAATCACATGTTAAGCACTGTTTTCATTTGATGAGTCATCTTCAGTCTCATGAATTACTGTGTCAAAAGAGTTTCTTACAATATGTTCAGAATAAGTGTCATGTCGGGAAAAAGTGCTCATGGGCAGCTACTCAATTCCAGCTACATTTCTACGTGTGGATCACACAGAAGGCTGGCCTGACCTTGCAATAATTTTAATTTCTTCTTTCTAGGTTCCCCACAGCTTTGAAGCCAACTGCTATTCATCTTGTTTACACAAACCCAAGAGTATCAAGCATGGTGTACATCAATACTTACAGCCTTTGTCATGTATGTCTGCTACAGTCATGTAACGTATGTGCCAAGATTCATTGTGTCCTTAATCACTTTCTTTATCTGTAAAACAAATAGTTTGCAGCAACATGGACGGACCTAGAGATTGTCATACTGAGTGAAGTAAGTCAGACAGAGAAAGACAAATATCATACAATATCACTCATATGTGGAATCTAAAAAGAGTACAATTGAACTTATCTACAAAACAGAAATAGAGTTACAGATGTAGACAACACACTTATGGTTACCAGGGGGTAAGGTGGGGAGGGACAAATTCGGAGACTGGGATTGACATATACACACTACTATGTATAAAATAGAGAACTAATAAGGACCTACTGTACAGCACAGGGAACTCTATTCAATACTCTGTAATGACTTATATGGGAAAAGAATCTAAAAAAGAGTGGATATATGTATAACTGATTCACTTCGCTATACACCTGAAACTAACACAACACTGTAAATCAACTATACTCCAATAAAAAATTTAAATTAAAAAAATTGTAATAACACATACCCACAACCATAGATTTGTAAAGATTAAATGAGTTAGTATGACCTATATGTGCTTAGACCAGGCATTGGAAAACTTCTCTGTAAAGGACCCTATAGAAATATTTCTAAGTTTTACAAGTCAGGCAGTCTCTGTCTCAATACTCACCTCTGTCATTGTGGAGCAAAATCAGTCCCAGACAAATGAGCATGGCTGTGTTCCAATAAAACTTTATTTACAAAGAGAGGTGGTAAACTGGATTTGGCCCATAGGCAGGTGGTAAACTTTGATGGCCCCTAGATGAAAGGATAAGTGTTTGATAAATTTGGTATGATCACACTTATTACCTAATCAATGCTGGCAGTTCTTCATGTTCATATTGTGTTTCTCTTTCTTAGCAACATCTGGAATTGAATTCTGGATACCTTAACTTACCTATCATCACTGTGGCCACTGATGCAGAAAGGAAAGGTAGGAGGGTTTTCATCTTGCTTATACGTGCATATCATCTAGTGGTAGAAAAGTGTAATTGCAAGATTTTTTTTTTTTTTAATGTCCTGGGCCATGTTCAAGCACACCCTGGTAAGAGGGTCGCTTCCTCAGTCTGCCCACAGTGGGCATCTACAACTGGACTAAAGGGCCAGTCCAATCCACCTGGTTTCAAGGAACTTTCCAACAGGCCTTTGACAGGTGTTCTTATAACTCAGAGTTTGATGTCAACAACCAAAAGTGTTCACTGAGGAGATAAAAAGAAACTATTTAAGAAATAAATATTATTTATTAGTCAATTAACTGTTTATATATGTGTGTTTAATAATACTAACAAATCCTTTAGAGAAACCATACAGTATAGGTATGTTTTTATCTTAAAATTAGCCTTCACGATGAGCCCTTAGCATAAGGTGGTGGCAACTCTGAGTCCAGGTCATATTTCTCTTTATATCCTTCATGGATGCTGCCTACTGGTCACTACCTCCTTCCTGTCTACCTTCTGTGCTGACCCATGCTGCATTTGTACTTCCCCAGATCATTGCCAAGAACACTAACCGCTGAGAATTCTCAGTCTTTCTGTAACTATGCAGAGGTTAGAACTTAAGTAAACAGGATCTTCATAAAAACCACAGTTCTAGAACTCAGGCTCTTCATTATTAATATTTTTTGTGGAGAGCCTCTCTACCAGCATATTCTCTGAAAATAATTTTGATACATGGATGCCTGCAGATTATCATTATTATATGTTAACATTGTTTGTTATTATGGTGAAGCAAGTATATCAGAAGACACTTTTTTTTTTTTTTTTTTTTAGGTAAGAAGTGGATTTATTTCAAGAGAAACACACTCCATAGACAGAGTGTGGGCCATCTCAGAAGATGACAGCGGCACCAGGGTATGGGGTTGTCAGTTTTTATAGGGGTGGGTAATTTCATAGGCTAATGAGTGGGAGGAGTATTCCAGCTATTTTAGGAAGGGGCGGGGATTTCCAGGAATTGGGCCACCGCCCACTTTTTGATCCTTAGGTTTGGCCTTGGAACTAGAAGACACATTTTTTAAAATGTATGTATGTATCAATATTAATAGTGAGAAAAAAGGAAGCTTTCCAGCTCTATATTTCCTTGATGTGTCTCCCTCACTGAATAGAATTCATTTATGGACCTTCGAGGAGTTACTTTATAATAAAAAGAATTCTGACCTCTAACAACTTGATTTTCTTTTCCTCCCCTGGAATCAGTAAGACATCATTGGGTTTGTATCCCATAAGCAAGTTCATATCCCCATTCATATCCCATCAGTGACATGAGTGATGGCTGGAGTCTGGGATGCTTTGTCAGCAACAGAGGAAGCCTCCTGCTTTCACACCCCACCCCACCCCCAGATGACTCTGTCTGTCCCCCTTCTTCCTGAGATTCATAAGTATCCAGAGTTTCTCAAATGCTCTTTCACCACTACCACCATCACTGCAACCACCACCTGCCTTCCAGAGCAGCTGGCTGGCCTGGGACCTGCTTCCCCATCTTTTTTCCTGGACTCCCTTCCTGGGTATCTGGGTCCCCTCCCCTTCATTCCTACTGCCTTGACTTAGAAGGATCTCCCTCCTCTGCTTTTGAGGAAATTCTCAACTCCATTCTACATTTCCAAACAAAAATCCCTATTTTGTTTCCCCCAAATCATGAAGCTGACCAGAAAAACTGGATTGAATTGGCCACAGTGCCGTTTGGACTCTCTTTGTGATTTTTGGCTACTCGCTCTTCCCAGTAGTTTACACTGACATGTCAGATTTTCCACAGTGGTCATGTAACATACCCATTCCTCCTTATGCCTACCTTGGGACTCACCCAGCAAAATTTAGGATGCTCTTGGGATCATGTATAAAGAGAGTGCTGGGCGTTAAAATGACATGGACAAAGTTCTTACAAGACCATAATTCTGCCCCTGGTTATGATAGAAATTAGCTGAGTGATCACTGGACATCAAATGCCTCACAAAACAGGAGGTTGGCTTCAATGTGCAATCAAGTCCCTCTCAGCTCAAATAATCTATCGTTCTAGATGTATCTTTGCTTATTTTTTAAAGAGGACACCTGAGTTCTAATTACAACCCATTGGTCCTCATTTTAGGTAAAGTTGCCAGAAAGGGACTTTGTGATGCCTGGTCCTGTCAACCTTCCATCCTCTGTTACCAGTATCTTGAAACTTTAAAGTTTTTACTGTCATTATTGGGTAAATTCTTCACTTTGGGCACTGCTTAACATTTCTTCCAGAAATGCCTTTGCCACTGAAGTATCATCCAACATGGATTTGAAATTGTCCAGTTATAAATCCTGGACCTGCTTCTGGTCAGAGTTGTCTTCCCTCCCAATCAAATCCCTCAGGGCCTGGATTTAGCATGGACTTCACTGCCCTTCATCTTAGAAAGGATCTCGGGATCCTTCTGGATACTGTGTAGGTTTCCTTCAATTTCAGAATGTCTGTTTCCAAGTTCTACAAGAAAGAGATATTTTTGAATTTTTATTTATGGCCTGTATCCTGCTTATGCCAGCAGATGCATCAAAGATACCGCAACTAAAATAGGATTTTTATAGGAAAACAGAATTGAGGCCTTAATTAATTGCTGACATCATATGTACTCCCTCAGAAAACCAGCTATTCAGAAATGACTCCGCTCCCTTCTGGCATAATTTACCCCCTACTTCTTCATTATTATTAAGGACATATGTACAGAAACAGGATCTGCGCCTTGCTGGACTTCTTCCATGCCAACCACTCATAGCCCAACTGATGTTATAATCCTTCCTTTTTCACATTACAATTGGCTATTGTGCAAATGAATATGTTCTCCCAGGAACAGATTGTGACTTTACGTGGAGCAAGAACAGGCATTGGAAGCAGATGAGCTCTCAGCAAGCCGGGATTGGGACCTCACCCCAAACGCCCTCGATAAGACACAAGGGAAGAAATAAATAAATACAAAGAAAGAAAAAAGAACAGAATAAAAGCTGAGGTAAATTATTTTAAACAGATTTGGAGCCAAGTTATTTAAGAGATGTCAGCTATTTTATAGCATGTGCATAAATGTTCTGAATTTTCATTCTCAAGGCAGAATCTCTAAGGAGGATCCTTGTAGCCTCAGCTTCAATTCTGAGGTCTATTCCTCCACTTTTCCTGTAAATACAACTTGGGTTCCAACAAAACAACTACTTTATTACTTTTTGTTCCTACATATATTTCTATACCATTACTTATTTTAATCTGACCACCTGGAATGCCTATTCTCAACCGTAAGACATCCCATGCATTCTTCAAGTTCCTTCTCAAATATTATCCTCATCATCATGTCTTAAAGTGTAAGGAAGAATGACGAGCAAAAGCCATGGAGAGATCGGATGTGATGTTGCAGATGGACTGAGCCTGGTCATTTCTGTGGTGGTTTTAATTTTGGAAGCAGAGACACAATGGACAGCAGAACGGACTTATCAGTAAACGAGACTTGATGAGCCTATTAGAGAACTTTCTAGAACTGTGGTGTTCCTTGCTGGTGATTTAGTAACTGCTCCCTAGAACACATTTTCTATTGTTTGTCCAAAGTCATGCCCTTCTCATCATCAGCCAGGGTGATGGTCTCTCTGAGTATGTACCTGGGAAGAAGGTGTAATGGGAAGGCCGAATATACACAAAGAAAAATTAAAGGGAACTACAAATTCAATATCTCAACAGGGAGAGCAACATTTCATTGACATTTCCTATGTTCAGGCAGTTTGTTAAGCACTTTACACAACACCTAATACACTGAGTCTTCATTCAAAACAAAAACACAAACAAAAAACCCTATGAGGTGAGCAGGAGAATCTTTACAGGGGGTTCGGGAATTTGTCCAAGGTTCCACAGTTAGTGTATGAAATCCACGTCAATCCATTTCTAGAGCCTCCTCAAAGGCTTGTCCATCACTTTCCAGAAGCAGACCAGCTATGGTCTCATCCACCTAGCATGTTCTGTCCACCACAGCACACCCAAGTGTAGGTGCAAATTTATGAATCCAAAAGTCAGCCCTGAGGCAAGAATGGTTTAGAAATGCTAGACTCCAACAGATAAACCTCAACAGACAGTTGGGAGCCCTCAAGTTCCTTCCCTATCTCCTCCTATGTTTCCTGTGTAGCCTTTAGCCAAACATTTAATTCTCACCTTCAAGAAGTGCACGTCCTCCTCCCGTTGCCTGAATCCTTCGTGGAGAATGGCTACTCCCCTCTACTTCCCCTGTGAGCCTTTCTGCCTTGCCAGGCACAATTCCTCCTTCTAAATTCATCTGAACCATCCTTTTATACATACCCCTTTTAGCCACAGCAGTTCACAATCCTTTAATTTCTTGTTCCCATCTCAGGTCTCCCACCAGCCTGGGAGCTCTTCAGAAGCTAAGTACTCTGTCTTATTTATCTCAGCGCATCAACGCTTTAGAACATGCACTGAATACAGAAACACATTAAAAGACAGATGTTTTAGGGTTTCCGTGGTGGCACAGTGGGTAAGAATCCGCCTGCCAATGCTAGGGGACACAGGTTCAAGCCCTGCTCCCGGAAGAGCCCACATACTGCAGAGCAACTCAGCCAGTGTGCCACAACTACTGAGCCTGTGCTCTACAGCCTGCGAGCCACAACTACTGAGCCCATGCGCCTAGAGCCTGTGCTCCGCAATAAAAGAAGCCACCGCGATGAGAGGCCTGCGCACGCTCACCGCAACTAGAGAAAGCCCACGCCCAGCAATGAAGACCCAATGCAGCCAAAAATAAATAAAATAAAATAAATAATTTTTTTTAAAAATTAAGAAATGCTTAAAAAAATAATGTTTTACATACGTACAAACATATGCTGTTCAGAGTGTTGTGTCAGAAAAAAAGTCCAAATCCAATGCATAATTTTCAAAAATTTGTAATCTGTGTTTAACAGGTTTTTTAAAAAAAAATATGGCTCCAAAAAATGAGATAAACTCAAGTATCTCCAACCTCTTATTTGAGAAACATGGTTCTCACCACTCTCATGGGAGCCACAATCAGAAATGAAGGGTAAGAAAGCAGTTGAATAAGTATTTATTGAATTGAATTGTTTGTAATTGGACTGAATTAAACTAAAAGAGTCTTAGCTTCCACTGATGGAGATCACAGAGCTCTTTGGGTGGAGAGTGGACCCAGAGGACAGAAAAGGGCTGTCTATGGGCCCAAGAGCTCTGGGTCACGATTTCTCAACCCTGGTTGCAAATTACAATCACCTGGGGAGCTCAAAAGACAATTTGGATGCATGATTCCCACCCTTAGGGCAACTAATTTAATAGGATTGAAGTGGGGCCTTGGCATCAGTATTTTTAAAGCTCCCTAGATGATTTTAATGTGCAACAAGCCATGAGACGATTCCTCCAGAGAAAAGGTTACTCTGGCATAGCTGTGCATTTCTGTGGCTGAAAGGCCAAAAATAGAAAATTTGATCTGTGGTACTGGGTCCACTTGCATCTCATTTCAGACTCAGCAAGCCAAGATTTTCCACCTTCCCACCACTGGTGCAGCAGGAAAGCTTGCCTGCAGCCTGTCCCTCCAGAACTGGAAGATGGGAGGCGGACAGGGAAGGTCCCTCGCATTTCTACGCAAGTCAGACCCACCCTGTGCTCCAGAAAGTAGCCAGGAGAAAACTCAGCATTTTGACTGGGATTCGATTGCTATCAAGCAGCTTTCTACTTCCGTTGTACAGGGTTGGCACCAGGTAAAGAGATCCAAAGGAAACACGTGGGAAATACTG